CTGAGTCTGGATATGCCATCTTTTTTTTTTTAGTTTTAACTTGAATATTTGTTTGTTTGGGTTTTTTCCTTTTCTCGTGGTTCTCTTCCCATTTACATTGCCCACCTCGTCTTGCAGTTTGCTGCCAAACTCGTGCCTCGCTATTTCACTTTCCCAAAACTGAAGGACCACTGTCGTCCGCTTCGAGGTCTTTGTCTTAGAAACTTTATTTCCTTCACCCCTAATTATTGATTCTGTGCTCAGGGACTTCCCCAGCCCCGTCCCTGCTCCTCACGCCTTCCCTGTGCTCTTGTGCTCTGTCCCTTGTCCCTTGCTCTCCTCCCTGGATGTCTCTTGGCTCACCCGTCCTCTGTCTCCACAACTGCTGCCCAGCTTCATAAATACTGAGTGATACTTCAGTGGCCTATTTTATCAGCCATATTTTAGCAAGAAGTGTAGGTAGGCAGAAATCTGTCTTTTAGCTCTTACTATACATCCTAAAACATATAAAAAAAATTAAAATGCTACATTAACTTTTGAAGATTTTGTACCTGTTTTAGTATTGCCATTTCCCACCTTTGTCCGTCTGACATTCAGGTCATTTTACGAAACGGGGAGGCAGAAGGAGATGCACCCAGTTTGAATTGCTTGGATTTAAGGCATTGTAAAAAGTGAAATATTACTGCCTGCCCTCATAATTTGGGATTCTCTACCACTGAAAATCTCCCATGCTAAATGTCCTAAGAAGATTAAGATCAACCCTTTTAATATTGCTTTTAGCTGAGCTTATTTGTAACCCTTTCAGAATATGTAGCACCTTAAGAGATGGCATGACAGGGCTGTTGCTATCACAAGCGTTACCTACCCTTTACGCAGTATTTTCTCAAATATTAAGACTTTCTCCCCTATTTAGCACCTTTATGTTACTGATTAACTTGCATAAACTATAGGGTTTAATATATATTTTTTAATAGACTGCATTTATTTTACCTCTTTGAGCAAGCCCTCTTTTTCACAACTTTTCTACTTTCTAATTGCATAGCTGTATGTGTCTTCCTCCAAATCCGAAATAACTGATTATCACCATGTATGATAAGTTTACATATACTTTAAAAATTGAACTTAAGTCACAGAAGACCATATGGGTCTCTTACTGATTTCACTCAAATTCAAGAGATGAATATGCACTGAATAATGTAAAGGGCCAAATTCTGCTATTTCTTTTATTTTTTAAAAAATATGTTTTCCATCACTGGTCAGGGATATGGGTATCCTGCAGCCCCAGGGAATAACTCCAGTTTAGCTGGGCTTTCCGCAGTCTCCTTCCAGTTTCAGCGATGGGTAAGGCTCGAGGACTCGGGCTGAATTCACAAAACCCCTGAATAGCAGAGGGGTGTTTTGAAGACTGTTGCCATTGATTGTGTAGAGGAGCAGCATCATAGTGCTATAAAGTTGCTTTTTTTAATCATTTTAGGCTGAAAAGAGGGATGTCAAGTTATCAATTAATCCTGACAGCATCCTTCTGTGGTGAAAAAATAATACTGGCACACCCATTTTATAAAACAGAAAATCTAAGGCAGAGATAATGGAGGCTCAATACTGGTGCTGCTGATACCACCACCCTCCCAATCCCCATTTCAAGGACAGTCTTGAAAGTTTTATTTCAGATTACAAAGGGAAGTCACTAAATCAGGCTGAACCCTGGGCCGCATTCCCATACCCAGACCGCTAAACCTCAGCCAGTTCTTAAGAGGGACTTCAAATGTCTGTCTTAAAATGGGTTTCAGACTCAAAAAAACCCAAAATCTGGGTAAAAAAATTTAGTGTGCAGTATCTAAACATGGACATTCAATGTCCCCAATGGCAGTGCACTCAAATCTAAGTACAGGTATGGTGCCTGTATCTATTTTGTGGCATTTACAGCTGGAGTTTGGTCATTCTGATGTTTTCATGTTCTTTCAATGAAATTTAGAGCATCTTCATACCCAGTTCTTATTTTTCCTTTGCCAGATGCATATTAAATCAAGTAAAAATACACGAGCATTTCAAATACCTAAACTAAACAACAAAGCCAGACCCTTGAGTCACATTAGCTTAATTTTTCCCCAAACATAATATCTTCTAAGAAAAGTTTGCATTTTAATATCAGGCTTTTATACAGTTTTGCAGTTCTTCTTAAGGAAATCGAGTATATATAATTAATACTGTTTAATAAAGCTCAAAAATGCAACAGATGCAGCCAAAAATGCACGTCATTTTGAGCAGATCTTTACAGAACAGACATTCCATATTGTGTTCATCTTTTTCCACGATCACTGCTATGACAATCTGGTGTGTTTAGCAGTTGTTGCTGAGTAAGGCAGACTGGATTGTATATGATTTTCTCCATGTCAGCCAAGAAAGAGAGCTCTCTTTTTGATGCCGTGAAGAGGTGGTCTTGTGCTATTTATTGCTTTCTACCAGGAGGAGCTGTACCTTTACTAACTTGCAAGAATAATAATACATTGCAATCTGTAGAGGCACGTGCTAGAAGCTTTCTGTAGGTCTTAATTGAAAATAAAATGGTTGTGGGGTGGAAAAGTCACAGGAACTGGTAAATCGAATAAGATGACCTCCCAAATAGAAAAGCTACAAGATTCACAAAACACGTCATTAAAATCTGTATCACAAAAAAGCAAGATATTTTAAAAGGGGACATGGAAGGAGGATCACCTACAGCAGAAAACCCGTAAGAGAGGCTCCAGTGCAGAGGAAACTGTTCCCCTTTCAGCATTCCTTCTGGGTGCCAAATTTTCCTTCTGTTCTTCCCCACCTATTAAACAAAGCTGCAACTTCCAATTCCTATCAGTTTTCCTAAATATGTGCAGCTTATGTGGCTCCGACGAGCTGTAAGGCTCCGTGTTCTCCTGCCAGCTCCTTGACAATGTGGCTCCAACAGCATCCTCCACTTTTGGCTGCCTCTGGGACCCCTGGTCTCTTCTGGAAAGGCAGAGGGAAAGCATATCCTTTGCTGGAAGGACTTTTTGTGACTGTGGAGCTGATAGCAGGGCTGTGAAGAGCTTGGAAAGGTCCCTGCAAGCGTCCTGGCTCTGTCACGGCTGCCTGCCCTGTGTAACAGGGATGTTCCGGTCCACCGTGGGGTGAGCATCAGAAACAGGGTGGGCTCATCAGGATCCCTTCTAAAGCACCCACAAAGGCTGCCTCGGGGAAGCGGAGGCGAACGGGAGACACCGTGCTGAGCTACGCTGGCTCTGGGCGTCAGGGCTATTTTCCTTGCAGACTCGCACGTTTCCGATAGAGATGTTCCCTTCCAGCCAAGCCTGAATCCTCGATGATAATCCCATTTGGGCTCTTTCAGCTGGGCATTTGGAGGGGACTAAAATACTGGCAAGGTGTTCCTGCCCCTAATTTACCTACCAGAAACAGGTGGCTATTTTAAGCGTGAGGATGCAAGCAAACTAGTAGGCAGCAAACTAGGATCTTTGCAACTGGAAGAAATTCTCTCCCCGAGCCAGTGCTCGTATCCACTTCGGTTACTGGAACCACCGTGAAAACTCCTGGTTCACAGATGTGAAACAAATTACTAAGCTTATGCAGTTGCATTCCTCCTTATTATTGGGAACAAAACAAATCTGGGAGATGGAGGACTTCTAAAAGTAATTATTGTCTGGCTTTATTTTAAGAAAATGCAACTAATTCTGAAAACTCCACAGTTTCTGAAGATTTCTCAGCCTGGGAAAGTCACATTAATTATAAGATTAATTTGTTTTAATTCCCTAAACCAAAAATATTGACTGAATGAGAAATTAACGCATGTAGAGCTGCAGATGTCATTTGGCTTCAGATTTCCTAAATGATATAATTATTAATCTTTCATATAGCGGTGTGACAAACCTACAGATTCATTCTACAAAGTTATTCTGTGAAGAAAGACACCAGGACAGCTGAGCTATAGATTTGCCCTTAATACAGGAAGGAAAACAGTGGAATTTTCTAAATAATAAATAAAACCAAAATATTTTAAAGACATATGGTGCACATCTGTCTGAAATACAATAATTTAAAGCAGAGTAATTAAATGCAAGATAAAATATTCACCTCACAGTGAGGGAATTACCTAATTTCATTTTTAATATGACTTACCGAATTTGGGAAATTTAGATCATCTGTGGTATCTTTTGGAAATTTAGGTCATCTGTGGTATCTTTTGAAGCTTTCATTCTGTGCTGGTAAAGAAGATAGATTAGCAAATTAGCTTTTAATTCTCTTTTTAGATAACCAACCTTGTGTTTCAAGGCATTGAGTGTCATACCCATACAAACCTTTAATATTATCTTCAGCTGAAATTGTAAATAAGTACAGGTTTCTTATTTTCTGTTTTAACTTCCAGTTAACTCCTTAAAAGTCTAAAGGTAGGTAGTGCCTCGTATTAGTTTATTCCTTTCTTTCTTACCTAAAGCGCTGAATGGATCGGAAGCTTTTCATGAGTATAGTATGGATTCATAAAATTGCAGTTTGGGAAATCCTATGTTTTTAGCAAAAGTTTTTTATTAACCTATTCCTCATGAAAAAGAGGGTGAACTGTAGTGGAGGTTGTATACATATTTTTTGACAGGCAAAAAAAAAGAAAATTAAAAAACAGGTTTTTTCCTACCCTTTTTTTAGCATGAGTTTGCCTTCAGTGAGGTGAGGGATTACTCGGTCCTTCTCACTTTCAAAGTTGGTAATTTAAAGCGTAAAGGCATCATCTGGAGACAGGGAAGAGAGATAAAAATCTGATAAAACTGAGTTTTGACCCTGAGTGCTGGCTTGAAGAAAATGTTCAACCATGTGGCGTAAGCAAAGGAGGAAGTTATGCTGAAGGTGTTTGGTCCCCAAAAGTACAATTTAAGAGAAATACTGCTCTGGTAAACAAACAAACACACAAAAAATCCACAAGTAAATATAAATGATGCTGAGATAAGCTCTGTTTGTTTTAAGGGAACATGACAAAGATCCTGAAACTCTCTGTTTGTTTTAAGGGAACATGACAAAGATCCTGAAACTTTCTTTAAAGTTCTGCTGAAACTGAAAGAGAAGGATCTGCCTTTTCATGTGTCCGTCCTTGGAGAGGCTTTCACTGAAATTCCAGGTACCGTTCCTTTTTTTTTTTTCCTTTACTGCAAAGTTACCATAAAATAGATATTTCCAGAAGTAGTTTTCATGTACATATTTTCTTGTATTAGTGAAACAAGCATGTTTAAAATCTTCATAGTTGTAAAACTAAATAATATTGATATATAGTAAAATTAAAATTATTAAAGACAGTAAGCATTTTTTATTTTACTTGGCAGTGCAAAACTTTATTTATGACTTGTGTTTCAGTAACACTTCTGTATTTATTTAAATAGAGAGATAGGTGTGAGTGATTGGATGAATCAGATAGGAAACAAAATCTTTCCGGTCAAGGTCACTCATCTGAAATCCAGACTGAGATTTTAGCAGGTGAAAACACTTAGTTCCTTTTCAAACGTGAGGTTAAGGACTTCTGTGGAGAGCTTCTGGTTTGTATCTGGCATGAAAGTGGTCATTAATCTTTAATATTTTTATACCATTCTTTCGCACACTTCTTCCATTTCTTGGTTTCTGACAACCACTACTCTGTAAACAGTTTCACCCATCTGAAAAAGAACTAGGTTTTATTCTGAAGACACACAGCTTTGTGCCTGAGATATTGTGGCAGTAAAGAGAATAATCAAATCCTATATTGTGTGCACCTGTAGTAAATTAAACCTTTAAAAATGTACATTAACAATGAGAGAGTTTCAAAATATCCGACATTTTAGCTCATACAAGTTTTCCAAAATGTCGACTTGCATCCCTCCACCTCTTCGTTCTGTAAAAATAGACTTGGGATTAGTTTATTTGTC